CCCTGAACCCATAAACCCTAAACCCCAAACCCCTAAACCCTAAAAGAGCGGTTTCAGAGCTTCGGGCCTGAAGGATTCATGGCGTAGGGCTTTCCGGTCTCAGGGCTTGGGGCTTCAGTTTCAGGGCGTGGGGGGCGTCTTAAGGTTTAGGGTTTAGGGCTCGAGGGTTTAAGGGTTTGGGTTCAGGGTTTAGGGTTTAAGGTTTAGGGTTTAGGGTTTAAGGTTTAAGGGTTAAGGGTTTAGGGTTCAGAGTTTAAGGGTTAGGGTTCAGGGTTTGGGGTTTAGGGTTCAGGGGTTCGGAATTCGGATTCTGATTTCCCTGCCAGGCAGCAAGAGGTTGGCCAGTGTGTAGTTGGGTGGTCCACCGAAGCGCCACTTGACACCCGCCTGTCTGAGCTTAGGGCTTAAGGTATCTCACATGGGGTGGCATACTATGATATACTATAACATATCATAGTATACGATAACATAACAACATATCATAATCTACTATAATATAACAACATATCATAATATACGAGTCGAAGAGACCAAGGCTGGAAATATGCGAGTTGTAAGTTGGGGTCCGGCAAACCTCCGACTCCGCTAGGGCACTGTGACGGACAGGCCCGGATCGGATTCCGTTTCGGGTTTCGGGGTTTTAGGGTTTCGGGTTTCGGGTTTTAGGGTTTCGGGTTTGGGGGTTTAGGGTCTAGGGTTTAGGGTTTAGGGTTTAGGGTACGAAAAGGACACCAAGGCGGCTGAAGCTGCATCCGAAGACACTTGTGCAGTGGATGCTGTTGCTTTTAAGTTTAGGGTCTTTTAAGGTTTAGGGTTTAGGGTTTAGGTTTTTGGGTTTAGGGTCAGTCTTTGGTCCATATTCAAGTCCGCAGTCATATAATCTACAATCTTTCTCTCCCTCCCTCCATCGCAATCCACCCGGCCATAAGAATCTTTCCATCCTTCTGTCAAGCCCTAGACCCCTAAACCCTAAATCCTGAACCCTTAGCCCTTAACCTTAAACCCTAAACCCTAAACCCTGAACCCTAAATCCTGAACTTAAGCCTTGAACCCTAAATCCTAAACTTAAGCC